TTGTAGGTGAGTGGTCTGTAGTTAGGTTGTATATCAGGATGCGTGCTGACCCTGATTGGACAAAGGGAGGAAGTACACAGCCTCGTGGGTTTTGCCTTTGTAAATACCTAGCTAATTGACGCCATTCTCTGCGAATCCGAGGCCTAGGCCTGGTCAGTGTCCATCGTCCTGGCCAGTATTTAATACATCTTGCTTCAAATTTGGCTCAAAAATTGTGGTGGTGGTCTCATTCCCATCCAGTAGGATTAATAGCATGGTCTTTCCTAGCCTCATGCTGATGCTTTAAAACACTTCAACACTGTTCTGACTGCGACCTGTGTGGGAAGCGACTGCAGAAGCAGGGACTTTCTCTTTCCTTGGGTGTCTGCGCCTCAAGAGGCTGGAAGAAACCAGTTTCGTGAAGCAGAAAGCTGTTCCTCGGGAGACTGTGGATATGGAGCTGCCCAAACATTTACTTGGTTCTCATCTGTTATTTCTCTGTGTGTTTGTTTATTTTCTTGTAGTGGGATCTCACTCTGTAGCCTGGGCTGGCTTAGAATCTGTAAACTTCCTGCTTCAGCCTGCCAGCTGCTGTTACAGGCGTGGGTCACCTCTCCCCTTCTAACTCAGGCTTCCCAGCTGAGCTCACTGTTGGGCTCATGGGCACAAGAACAGCCCATCTGCTTGGTGCTAGAGCGTGTGTCCAGGTGCTTACGGGAGCAGAGGCCCCGGGTGCTTTGTCATGACCGCTGAACTTTGCTGAGCATAAGAATTTTCATTTCAGGGGCTGGAGAAATGGCTCAGTGGAGAAAGCCTCACTTACTGTGTTAGTGAGGACCTGAGTTTCATCCCCACTACCCACGTAAACGGCACACAGCGTGGAGACCCACTAATATTCCCTGTACTAGGTTGGCAGACGGGATCCTGGGGACAAGCTGGAGAGAGAGCCTGGCTAGCCAAATCAGCAGTTTTGGGTCCAAGTGAGAGATCCTGTTTCAGTATGTAAGGTGCAGAGTGACTCCTGACCCCCACATGTACCTGTATACACACATGCACCTCACATGCATTTAATCACAGACATGTGAACAAACACATATAATCATAGCATGTTGACAGGTTTCTGTCCAGCCTGGTCCCAAAGAAACACACAGAGGCTTACATTAATTATAAACTGGTTGGCCTATTAGCTCAGACTTCTTATTAACTCTTATAACTTACATTAACCCATCATTCTTGTCTGTGTTAGCCACGTGGCTTGCTACCTTTATCAGTGAGGTGTTCTCATCTTGCTTCCTCTGCTTCTGGGTGATGACTGCAGATTGAGCCTTTCCTCTTCCCAGAATTCTCCTGTTCTGATCACCCCGCTTATACATCCTGCCTGGCAACTGGCCAATCAGCATTTTATTAAATCAATACAACTGACAAATCTTTACAAGGTACAAGACCATTGTCCCACACCAATAGCACACACATACACAAGCAGTTTATTTTTCATTTCAAATAAAGCTGTCCAGTCAATAAGAAAACAGAGAAATAAAACAGTTAGGCAGACTCAGTTCTTGAGAGATACTGGGTGCAGTGGAGAACCCAGGAGCCAGGAGTTTAACAGTGCCACAGTGCTCTAAGCTAAACTGCTGACCAGAGGGCTGGCAGAACACTTCTCAGCATGCACAGGGCCCTAGGCTCCGTCTCTAGCCCTGCACACAACAGAAATGACAAGAACTGCCAGGCCAGTGATGGTGACGCAAGCCTTTAATCCCAGCACTCATGGGGCAGAGGCAGGTGGATCTCTGTGAGTTTGAGTCCAGCCTTGTCTATAAAGCTAGTTCTAGGACAGCCAAGGCTACACAGAGAAACTCTGTCTCAAAAACTAAAATAAAACAAAACAAAGAAAGAAAGAAAAAAGGAAGGAAGGAAATGACAAGAACTGCTAAGTTCTAAGATGCTTGAAAACAAGGAACACTGTGGTTTGTCCACTCTGTAAACTCACATTGTCTGAGAATCCCCACTGGGAGGGATTAACAAAAGAGCTGGTTGTCTTGCAGCATGTAGAGGTGGAAGGATACATACTTTCTCTAGAGTTGTGATGTGCCATGTCACCTCAGGTCTCTGCCAGCAGGAAGGCCATAACCAGATATAGCATCTTGAGCTTGGACCGGAACAGTGAGTCAAAGTAACTATGATTAAGTTTCTTGATTAAGTTTTTAAGTTAGCATACAAAGTAGTGGATTTTGTTGTAACGCTTTTATGCATATGTGTCTTTACACTTCATGGTTGATGCTCCCATTCCACTGATGCCCTCCTCCATCCTTCTTCTCATTGTGCTAATTCCCCTCCTCCCCAGATAGGATAGTCCTCCCTTCTGCTTGTTTCATGTCTCAAGAGCCAGCGGGATGGCTCAGTGGGTAAAGGCACTTGCTGCCAAACCTAATGGGCTGAGTCTGACCTTCACGATAAAAACAGAAAACCGACTCCACGAGTTGACATCTGATCTCCACATGTGTGTTCTGGTACACCACACAGACCACACCCACACATACCTACACACATATACCCCCCCGCACGCGCGCGCACACACACACACACACTGCAGAAAGAAAAGGACTCTCAAGTTTAACCATGAAGCTATATTCGAAAGGTAGTCAACAAGACAGACTCATAACTGTATTGTCTAGTCTTGCACTCTTTAAAAGTGATTTCAGATTTCTCCACTAAGAGATAGACAATGTTCTCCTCCTTCCTTCTAAAACATTCCCAGAAAAGCACTGTGGAGTGCTTTTCCTAGCCACACTCTAAGTCTCACGGAACAACTGTGCCTGTCTTACCATCCCATGACTCTCAGGAAGAAGGCCGAGTACCCAAGACGGATGGTTGGGTGTCTGGGATGTTGGTGGGAGTGTCATGCTTGGAGAATTTGCTGTGATGGGGCCAGGACTGAATCAGTTAGGGAGAGGCCAGGGCCCCACTCTGGTCCACGCTATTTCTGAGACACAGCATCCCAGTTCTTAGCCCTCATCCTGACAGCTATGCTCAGCTCGCCTGAGGAAAAGCCTCCCCCTAGCGCATCCATTTACACAATACACTAATTACATTCCCATTGTGGGTTAGTTGCTGTTCTAGACACAGCAGATGCGATAGCAAACCTAAACCACAAATCCCTTCCCTTGTGGACTTAAATGTAGCCACACTGACAAGGTAAAGGATTGAAAAGATGGACTGATAGATCATATGGAGAAAAATCACAGAGAACCGAGGGCCAGTGTGAGGGTTGAGTACAGTCTTTCACTGGCCATGAGGGAGGAGGGCCTGTGAGAGACTTGGAGAGAGCTGTTGGGGAGAGGCTCCCAGATGATCCTGAAGTTTGGAGCAGCGCTGTGCCTGCTGTGTTCAGGGACTCACACGGAGACCAGCAAGAGAGGAGGAGGGCAGTGGTTGAGCCTCAGTAACAGCCTAGAGACAGTGGGAAAAGGGATGGGCCAAGGAGACAAGCCCATTCCTTGCCTATGAGACTGGCTGCGGTTGCATTCTGGGATGCTGTGCTTGTTCCTCATTCAGGTTCTAGTGGCCTGGGTAGCTTGACCCTTTGTGTGCTTAGGAAGTGGGTAGCATGACCCATTGTGTGCTTAGGAAGTGGGTAGCATGACCCTTTGCATGTTTAGGAACTGGAGAGCATGACCCTTTGTGTATTTGGGAACTGGATAGCACGTCCTTTTGTGTGCTTAGGAATTACTAGAATTTTTCTACAAGACTCGTGCAATGAACAGGTCAGCTTCCTGATCACATGTTAAGGTCTTTGGCCACAAACACCAAAGCACATAGTCCTTAAGGATCTAGAAATTGGAACACAAGGCAAAATAATGCACTAAAGAATCTTTGTCATGCTGGCTTTCTTTTGCAAGCCTTGGTTTTGGAGCACACCCATTGGGATGGTGCGCCTGGCTGATCACAGTAGACAAATAGGAATTAGCTAGAGTGTGTAGTTGTTACTCAGGTTCTCTTGGGACTGGATTTTGTCTTGTGTTTTACCGGATACAGTATTATGCTGGGACTTGAAGCAGAAAAGTTGATGTGGGGGGCTGGAGAGATGGCTCAGCAGTTTATGAGCATTGGCTGTTCCTCCAGAGGACCTGGGTTCAATTCCCAGCACCCACATGGCAGCTCACAGCTGTGTATAATTCTAGTTCTAGGGGATCCAACACCCTCACACAGAGTATATACAGGCGAAACACCAGCGTACATTAAATAAAAATAAATAAATCTTTAAAAAAAAGTTGATGTGAATATCTGAGTGGGTCTAGCATAGAGCAGCTCCCTTTCATTCCTTTCGGGGAGTTTCTGCTGGTCACCGAACGGCACCCCTTGAGACACAGGAAAGCTGCCACCTTGCAAAGGCAGGTAGATCAACTGTCTCACTGACCCCCTGTCCCCACATGCATTTCCTTGTGAAGAAATGGACGGAGCCAGAGCCTGAGGTTGTCTGGATCTCAGAACACACAGCGATCCGTCAGTGGGTTCAGTGATGAATATCTGAGGAACTGTGAACATGCTTCAGCAAACTCTTATCCTCAGCACGTTCCTCCTCTCCAGGTGTTCAGGTGAGCGCCGCCATTGCTCCCTTTCATCTCCAGGTGTGCAGGTGAGCATCACCATTGCTCCCTTTCATCTCCAGGTGTGTAGGTGAGCGGCGCCTTTGCTCCCCTTCAGCTCCAGGTGTGCAGGTGAGCACCACCATTGCTCCTCTTCAGCTTCAGGTGTGCAGGTAAGCACCGCCATTGCTTCCCTTCAGCTCCAGGTGTGCAGGTGAGCACCGCCATTGCTTCCCTTCAGCTCCAGGTGTGCAGGTGAGCACCGCCATTGCTCCCCTTCTTCTCCAGGTGTGCAGGTAAGCACTGTCATTGCTTTTCCTTCATCTCCAGGTGTGCAGGTGAGCACTGCCATTGCTCCCCTTCATCTCCAGGTGTGCAGGTGAGCACTGCCATTGCTTTTCCTTCAGCTCCA